TTACTGAAGGAATAAGCAGAAAGAGAAGATACTAGGGCAACCATTGGTGTCTCCTCCACTACTAGCACCCTTAGGCAGAGCAGGGGGGAGGTTTAGCATAGTGGCAGCAGGGACATACAGACTCTCAGTCCACATTATCCTTGGGTTTGTGTCCACCAATCCCAGTTTGTTGGATTTCATGCCGGGGGCAGGTCAAAACAGCAGGTTAACAAGATCATCCATCTGATTGCCCAGCTTTTCCATGATAGAAGAAGAGACCTTTGAGCAGCTGATATGGGTCTTTGCCCTGCAGCATGTCCTTTAATCAGGAATATAGTCTCATCACTGTACTGTCGATGTACTAATTCTACTATTGAAGGAGCAGCTGGCTAAGGTTATAGTACAGTTGGACCATTTAATCACAGATTTATGGAGTGCTCATAGTGGACAGCATGCTTTGTTCTCCTTAACGGCAAACTGGTGGCAACCCCTGGTGCTTGGGCATAGTGTTGGCAGTAGAATAGGTCCAACCTTAACATTATGTCAACCTGGAAGTTAAAATGTAGTGCAGCAAAGTTCTTGCAGACAGTTAGACGAATGGTGGCAAATTGGTTGATAGAGCAATCTGCCAGTGGTTTCATGGTCACCAACACAGCTGCTTATATGGTCAAACCTCTTTGAGCTAGTTCCTTTTTAGATGTGCACTGTTCCACAGACATCCTACATATTGTAATGAATGGTGCATTTCAAAAAGCCAAAACAAAGGTGCAAAACATACTAGCATTTCAATTGCAGGGTAAAAAGTAGCCAACTCTTAAAGCAGGACCAAAAGATTTTTATCTTCCCACCACTCCAATTGCATTGGCTTTCCACCGGGATATGAGGATTGGACAATAACAGAGCGGTTGGTGTCAGTTCTAATTCCACTTACCAGGACAGAAAATGTGAGCCACAGTAATGCCAGTTTGGGACAGTTGACCCCCTGAATTTCAGGGAATTAGTTCCCGGCAGCAGAATCCACACCAACGTGGTAGCAGTGGTCAGGAAGCTGAAAGATCGACCCAAAACTTGTGTGTGCAAACAAATTACTAATTGCCCGAAACTGATACTAGTTTCCCTGTGTGATCCTAGGATTAAGGGGAAAGGATCACTAATACAACAACCTGACATACAGGAGGGATAGACTTATTAACATTGTGATCTGTGAAAGGGAGATATGCTGGTTGAGGTAGATCTGTGCATTGACCCTACCATTTTTCCACTGTCTACTACTCTCAGCAGCAAAACCCCAAGATAGAACAGCAAAGCAGGTAGAAAGGGTAGAACGTGAATCACCAAATGGCCAGTAGGACAGTAGTGCCTCTGAAATGGTCAAAGATGACCTGTCTGAAAATGCTTTGCCTGCTAATGTTTGTAAAAATAAAAATAAGGGCTGCACCAAAGAGTGCTAACTGAGCTAGGGTCAGCACTCCCCACAGACTTGTAATACAAAGACAAAAATGCTTAGGCACTCGATGTGTTAAAATTCAGGCAGAGTTTAATGGGACATCAAAGTGCACGGCAACGTTTCGACCTGTATCCAGGTGTTTGACAAGCTTTACAAAGACCTGGGTACAGGTTGAAACGTTGCAGTGCACTTTGATGTTCCATTAAACTCTGCCTGAATTTTAACACCGTGAGTGCCTGAGCATTTTTTTCTTTGTATTACTTGCCTGCTAATGATGATCCTCTGAACTACTGAGATGAGAAGAAGAGTGTGTGTGTGGGTTACTCTGCTCTTCACTTTGATACTTGAGGTGTCATCATTTGGGAGCTGAGATCCAATTAGTCACTCACCTCTCCCTTCAAAGTTGCTTCTAAGTTTCTAAAAGTATTCTAAATTTTGGCAGTGATTAAAAACAAATTAAATTTTTCCTTATGCGGCTCTGCCATTTTCAAATGACTTTCATTGCAGTGCCCTGCCTGGCTGACTTTTTGGGTGCCCGCTACCTCCATAGATGTAGTTTGGAGAAGCTGATTGGACACTGTGTTTTTTACACACTAAACACAATCACTAACACTACCGACTGGATGTGTGGGTAAGCTTTGTAATTGTCAGGGTGAAAGGAGTAAGTTGGTAGTCAACTGCCAACTGACCTTTTCCTTCCATTTTTGGATAAATCCACTATTTTGAACTTGAAGTAACTCCTGATCCCTATTTTTCATTAAAGGACCACTCTAGGCACCCAGACCACTTCAGCTTAATGAAGTGGTCTGGGTGCGAGATCCTTCTAGGGTTAACCCATTTTTTTTATAAACATAGCAGTTTCATAGAAACTGCTATGTTTATGAATGGGCTAAGCCTTCCCCCTAATCCTCTAGTGGCTGTCTCATTGACAGCCACTAGAGGCGCTTGCGTGCTGATTTTCACAGTGAGAGCACGCCAGCGTCCATAGGAAAGCATTGAGAATGCTTTCCTATGTGACCGGCTGAATGCGCGCGCAGCTCTTGCCGCGCGTGCGCATTCAGCCGACGGGACGGGACGGGGCGGAGAGGAGGAGGAGAGGAGGCAGAGAGCTCCCCGCCCGGCGCTGGAAAAAGGTAAGTTTAAACCCCTTTCCCCCTTCCAGAGCCGGGCGGGAGGGGGTCCCTGAGGGTGGGGGCACCCTCAGGGCACTATAGTGCCAGGAAAACGAGTATATTTTCCTGGCACTATAGTGGTCCTTTAATACAAGATTATAGAACTAAGTTGTCTTATTTGTTTTCAATCCAAATATATAAATTTAAATTTACAAACTCAGAAATAGCATTGCAAAAATGCCTGATATTACATAGTCATTAGGCAGGGCAATATTGCAGCCGTGTTTCATGCCAGCAAAATATAGGCACCTTTTATTCAGCTGTTGTGGGTAACTGAATGGCTTCCCCGAATTGGTTTCAGTACCAATATGTGGTACCAAACAGCAGCATGAATAAAACTCTGCTGAACCACCCCCCAAAAAGGTCTGCTGAAATGCTTCAGAAAAACAAAAATTGATCACCCTGCACAAGTCATTAATAGCTTCAAACAAGGTGACAAATCAATTACAATCTCGCTTTTCCAATACTTTTCAAGAACACTTTTACCATTATCAATTAGCCAAAAAGGAACCCTCTACTTTATACTGTATTAAGCAGTCACATGTAACACAATGATAAATCAAATTCAACATCAAAAGTGACTTCATAAATCACCAAAAACACTATTCTAACAATTAAAAAATACTCTTAAAGTTTTCAGTGTTTGCATATAAGCAGAACACCGCAAACAAATTTTCAGAGTTGATGATGTATGCAAACAATGTCACCATACCTAATTAAGCTACTCCTTGATAATCATTCAATGCAGATAAAGAGCAAATCCGTATTGTAACAATAAAATAACATGTTTAAATTCATAACAAATGCACACATGCTATACTCAAAATGTCCATTTGAACATGCATAAAGAAACACACACTCATAACACTGTTGTGTTAATTTGGAACACAACAGACTAATGAAACACAACATAGTATCAACACCAGTCTGGTATTTAATGGGTTAAACAGACAGGTCGCATGAATTGATTTTGTCTGCTACAAAAAATGTGATCTTAGAATAATTATCTCAATAGCTATAATTACTGCAACACTAACTTTAAAAAATTAATCATTTTGAGGTTAGTGTTCCTGAGGTTTAACTTAATATCCCTCCTCACCTCATAAAATAAAACAAATTTTAAAAATCTGTTTTTAATAATGCTTAATCCAGTAACAGGCTGTCAATCCTCCTCTCCTAGCCTGACTGATGATGCCTAGTACAATACAGTGCACTATGACAAGCATTCATAACATTAGACAACATTGAAAAATTGGGAGTTCACAAGGAAGTGCTTCTGTCTGGATAACAGCCACTAAAGGAATTCTGACTGACAAACGTACAAACGGTCGTTTCACGGAAACGGTAAAGTTTACATTTGTCATGGTGCAAATAAAAAACAAAACTCTGCATCATGATGTAGTGCTTTGGGTGAATAGAGTGTGCCTTTAATGACAATAAAACATTTAACCCTATAATGATTTTGTAACTTCAGCAGCTTTACTTGACAACACAATTTGAAATTGGCAAAAATCAGAAAGTGTTATCGACTTAATAGTTAAAATAGATTAGCTAAAGAAAACATAACATTCCGATTTAAAGTTTTGTATCACAAATATTTCATTCCTTGTATAACATTAGTTTAAGAAACAGAACAGATATATATCATGTGACATCATACCAGTTTACACGATGACTGAGAGGCAGATACAATTAATTCATGCCATGTAATACACTGTTCAAAGCATCCTTATCTGGATCCAACTCTTATCTCTGTAAATACAGTTATGTTGCCTTCGTAAATGCCCTTCACACACAATCACTCCAACAGGTCATTCAATTATATAATATAGTAATTGTCTGACACACACACACACACTACTATATAACAAAAATAAATAACACAGATCAGTTATTTAAAAAAAAAAAAGTGATTTTTAAATGAAAAACAGTCTAAATGACACTACTCATAAGTGTCTGTGTACATTAAAGTGACTAGCTGTATGTAAGTATATAAAGTAAAAGGTAAACTACCACCAAAATACTTGAAGCAGTAAGTGTCAGTAGCATAATGTTGATCTGTACTCTTAGTTATGTACACCAAGGCTTGCAAATGATGCTGGTATCTACATAAGCAGTAGTTGTACCTGTGTTTCTGAGTACATTAGATCTAAACATTACAATGTTGAATGCATAATGGGATAAACCTAATTTAGCAATATGATAGGTATCAAAATAAAAAAGTAAGTCTGATACCCATACTTCAAACTCACCCAGCATACACTTAAAGCATTTAATATAGTAAACTTTACCTGTGTGAAGTATCATACATTAGCTTTATCTCAAAGTAGAGAAAAGAATTCACGTAACTTAAATTTCAGATACTCACAGAAAAAAGTGTATTTGATGAAGAGTCCCAGTGGAGAAGGTAAGAGGAGGGCAGACTCTGCTAGCAATCCATACTAAAGTCCCTGTTTAATAGATCCATGGAGGTTCATCGGGGAGAACTTGGCTTCAGCTCTCGCTCTACGCTCCAAGTGTTTGTTCTTTAGAACACAGCCCCCAGACAGCTGCAGGGCTGCTTCCCTTCCACGACGCTGAGTTGTTAGATACAATATCTGGAGACAGAACGGACGGTGTGTCTGGTGGTGATTCAGTGTTGCTGGTAGAAGGTCGTATGTTACGGGATACAGAGTTCTAAACTCACGTCTGCTCAGATGGGATGAAGCAAATTGTAAAATCTGGAAACAAAAGTCAATATTCCCCCGGAAGTTGCTTTAACCCCGCTGTAGTAATCTGTATCTCACAGTAAACTACAACCCATAATAATGGTCAATTTCTGAAAAGTAATTCTGGCTACTGTTTCCCTAGAACTCCTCCCTTAACAACTCCAGTAAGAATAGTTACTGTAATAATGCATTTTAGTTGTGGTAAATAAGCACACACACACACAAATAATTATTTTTAAACTGAAATATATACATTTATATACATATTTATTCATAACATCTTATTTTTATGTTGAAAAAAGACTAAAGCCAATCAAGTATATCATTAAATGTAGTCAATACAGCCAGTCTTTATATTTACAGAAGAGTATATTATTTACAGGGTTATTCACTAGACACTTGTTTAAATCTGGTGAGAATGACGGAATTTGGTCGATCAAAGTGAATATGCAGCTTCAGGGTCCGGATCGAAATCCGGAAGATTCACAAAGGACTGATAGTAAAGGGACACTACTAGAGTTTCTGGAACAAATACAGCTTTAAAAAAAAAAAAAAAGCATAATGTAGTTGTTCTGGAGTCTATAGCCTTCCCCTGCAGGTTTTTTAATGTAAACACTGACTTTTCAGAGAAAAGGCAGTGTTTACATTGCTGCCTAGTAACACCTGTAGTGGCAGTCACTCAGACGGCCACTAGAGGTGCTTCCTGTGTCTGTGCAGCAGTGGCGTTCAGCGTTTCTGACTCTGCACGAACGTTAATGCATCTGTATGAGGAGATGCTGACTGTCGCAGGGCAGAGTTTTAACGTTCATGCGCAATACCTTCCTAATGCTTTGGCTGAGATCATCAAGTTTGAGGATCTCAGCTACAGAGGTGGAGCGAGGCAGGGATAGCAGTGGCGAGACTGGCACAACACAGGAGAAAAGGTGAGTAAAGTCACCTTTCCGTAGGGAGGCAAGGGCAATCAGAAACCTAAACAGTGGTTTTATCACTGTAGTGTCAGGAATATATGTTTAAAACTAGCGACTGGGCAGCCATTCCACATCTCATGAAGTGGCGTGAGTGCAGCAGTCCTGCAATTTTAACCAACCTTCCAGACAGCCACTAAAAGGGGGTTCCACTGTAAAGGCTGAATAAACCTTAGTCATGTGACGCAGCCACCATAGAAAAGCATTGATTCAATATTTTGCTATATGGAGGCTTGGGTGAGAGTGCTGAGTAGAGATGAGCAGCGCCAAAAACTCCCTAAGCCCTGGAAAAAGGTGTGTAAAACGTTTTATTTTAGAATTTCTATGGGAGACACTTGGTGGGGAGCACTATGACTAGGGACAGGGGCAATAAAACATTAGGAATACAGTTTTTTCCCCCCTAACATTTTAGAGTTTAGACAATATTTATCGGAAAAAAATGAAAAGAAAAACATTTTTTTTCCACAGTTTTCCACCCAATAACTTCTACACAACTAGTGCAACTTTTAAAAAAACAAAAACATTTTTTTAAATAGATTCACTTATTGGTTGTGATTGTTGAAATGCCTCATAAGTCTAGGATTTCAGATTTTGGAAGCTATAGGGCAAATATGGCAAGCAGCAGTGATTTTAAAACTAAACCTTAGCCAAATTAGGCATGTTGATACTTTAACTTTAACTTTAATAGTAGTCACAGAATCCAAAATGTTGTCTCCAGCTCAAGTTAAAACCATTTGTTATATTTTAATATTTTGTAAATTTTGCAAATGTGTCATTTTTAGGGTTAATTTCACAGACAATGTAAAGCCCCCTGATTTATATTCTACTACACCCTCAGAGTAGAGCATTAACCCAGATATATATATCTTTGCCCGCTAAATTTGACATATTTCCTTACTTGCTTCTCAGATGTTATTTTGTGGTGACATTATCTGTGTAAGTAATCTGTCTGTAATTATCGTGTTATTTGAACTTTCCCTTAACCCTAACCTTGATTGCAACCCTAGCTCTAACATTAAAGAAACACTATGGGGTCAGGAGCACAAACTTGTATTCCTGACCCTATAGTGTTAAAAACACTATTTAGCACCCCTCCACTGGCTCCCCTTGCCTCCCTTAAAGCCAATAAAAACTTACCTTATTTCTGCCCCTGATCCGCCTTCTTGACATCGTCAGAATTGATGATATCAGCCAATCACAATGCTTTCCCATAGGAAAACATTGTATTGGCTGAGGTTGTAAAGTCTGATGCTAAGGAGACGGATCAGGGGCAGCAATAAGGTATGTTTTTATTAGCTTTAATGTTTTGCTATAAGGAGGCTTGGGTGAGAGTGCAGAGTAGAGGTAAGCAGTGCCGAAACTCTCTAAGGTCCGGAAAATGGTGTGTAAAATTTTTTATTTAAAATTTTTTATGTGAGACACTTGGTGGGGAGCACTATAACTAGGGGCAGGGGCAATAATGCCAAAAGCCAAACGCCACCCAGGCCAATCATCATCTCCTCATAGAGATATCAATGCATCTCTATTGGGGAAAGTTCAGCGTGTTGTGCAGCACAGACCCAGGGAGCACCTCTAGTGGCTGTCTAATTGACTGCCACAGGAGGTGTCCCTAGGGAGCAATGTAAACACTGCCTTTTTTCTGAAAAGGCAATGTTTACATCAAAAAGCCTGCAGGGCCTCAAAATATTCTTTAATTGTTTATTCCTCATATATAATGACACAGATGTATACCATGTGTATAACTCTAATAAAATATAATATATTTTTTTAAAAGCCTGCAGGGACTCACCATATTCAGCAGACTAACTACAATAAGCTGTAGTTGTTCTGGTGAGTATAGTGTCCCTTTAACTGTAACTCTAACCATAAACCCTAGCCTGCGGGCCAGTCAGAGAGTATTGCTGAATTGCCTCATTTTGAAGTAGTCTAACAGTAGTCATTTGACATCTGATGCCAGCAAGCCAGGGATCAGCTGTCAATCATGCAATAGAGCCAATGTAAAAAGCTGTCACAGCAGTCCTATGGCTATAATAGCCACTTGAGATTGTTACTTGAAAGCCTCAGGAGTGAAACTGCTCAGTAACAGCATGTACCCAATCCCAACACATAATAAAATCATGACCGTGAGATCTCCCCGTAATGCTGGTCTCCACCATGTTCTATCTGCTGATCACACTGTGATCAGGGCTGGGCAGCTGGAAAAAGTCCAGCACCGATCACAACTGGCAGGTGGACAAGCATTGAAATCCTGACAGGGCTTTAAAAGTGTGCTGTCAGGCTTACAATCACAGTGGTTGAGTGCAATCTCGCTCTGCCTCTGTGAATTAAAAGATATAGAAGGCTGTGGGCATACAGTTCATCTGTAAATCTGTAGCAATTTAAAGGGACACTCCACAGCACAATATAAAATAAATAAAAATCACTGTTTAGTAGATATAGCCCAAATAAAAGCTTGTATGCATTTTATTATGTATTTGTTTAATTTGGGATATATCTAAAATCAGCTTGCAAAACCTGCAGTTTTCTTTTCTGCCGCCTTTGCAAGCCCTCCCTTTCTAACCCAGCCCAGACTTTCTGTGGCTGTCCAATCACAGACTTCCCAATGCAGCTCAATGAGAAGTCTTTACAAGGCAGTTACTCTGGGCAATTGCTGCCTCTTGAGGTCAGCTGATGAAACCAGGAAGTAACAGGAATGGTTGTCTGCTTGAAAGCCAAGTGAGTGTAACCAGGTTAATTTATAAAAGTGTACATTTTTATTGAAATCTGCACTTTTTGCAAAAGAAAAAAAAGAGGTCACACTTTTCACACATGGTATCATAGAAGATGTTTAAATAATTTTGTGCAATCCACTATGGCCACAATGGGACCAAACAACTTCTCTTGCATAAACCAAGATGGCTGTCAGACCATGTTATTATTATGTTATTATTATATACCGCCAACAAATTCCACAGCGCTTTACAGCGGGTGGACAAACAAACATGTAGTTGTAACCATGTAGTTAGACACACAGGAACAGAGGGTTGAGTGCCCTGCTCAATGATCTTACATGCTAGAGGGAGTGGGGTGAAGTGACACAAAAGGTAAGGATAGTATTAGACTAATGACAGTTGCAAGAAAGGAATCAGTCGGGAGCTATAAACAGTTTAATTGATACGCTTTTATGAAGAAGTGGGTTTTTAATAATTTTTTGAAGGAGTGGAGATTGGGTGAGCATCTAACAGAGGAGGTATCATGCGGTAACACTTCTGGGTTCGGCACTCCGCTGTGCGGAGCCGGCCCCGCCCCCCCCTCCTCTGATGCGGCTCTAACGGTATTTAGGGAGACCGCGCCAGAGAGAGGGTGCTTGGTGATACTGGGAGCTACTTCCGCTAGACTTACCTCTCCACAGGCTCTGGCAATGTGGGTCCTACTTCCGAATATGCACGCCGGCTCCTGGGACACGCCGGCTCTACAAACTCTGAAGTCGTCCTAGCCTTCTGGACTAAGACAAGTATGCTTCATGTCATAGAGGATTACTGGAGAACGGAAACTCATTTACTTTACAAGTGGACCATATCCCTGAACTATTGGAGGACTACTCATATTAACCTTAAGTATATCTTTCAGCTATTTGTCTACAATATCATTTAATAATGAACTAATGCTTGCTTACTCAAATCTTCATTGCTTCAAGCTACTAATTATATGGAGGACAACTCCCATCATGCTTATTCACTATGAACTGTTTCTTGCTTTGCAAATACACTCAGTGCTTCAAACTACTAATATATAGTGAGCGCTCAGACGGCTGCCGCACTGCCTCACCTCCCCTGCCCTGTAGCGTGGTTGAGCTCCTTTCCGGTCCGCGACCCGGCCGGACTGACAGGAAGTGCACACTGAGTGTGCACTTCCTGTCAGTCCGGCCGGGTCGCGGACCGGTTAGGAGCTCGGCCATGCTACAGGGCAGGGGAGGTGAGGAGATGATTGGGGAGAATATAGGGGAGGGGAGAAGATTATAGAGAAATATAGGGGAGGGAAGATTATAGGAGGGGGAGAAGATTATAGGGAAGGGGAGGGAGGGAGAAGATTATATGAGGGGGGGAGAAGAT